AACAACACACAACTTAACAGGAGCAAAAGAGCTCTGCAGGAAGGGATGTATCAAGCACATCCAATGCCAAAGCATGCTACGAGCTCTTCGCATGATTTCATGACAGTAATTACTTACAAAAGCAGGATTAAACACAGACAGCATGCTTTATGGAAAGAGTTCAGGGCATTGAATGGTGGGGGCAAAATGAAAGAACGCCTCCTGAAAACTCTGAAAGGGGACCGGGAGGTAAGAAAACAAGCCCAGTTGGCGGAAATGGAAGGAAGGGGAAAAAATATTCCTTTCTCTCTGTCTCAACGGTTATGTAAGGGCTGCTGCTGGAGCTCTATAAATAGGGTGTTAACAGGTGTCAAACAGGGAGAAATCTCCAGCAATCGACACAAATGGGATTTTTCCATCAGGTAGTTTTTTAGCAAGATTGACAGTCAGCTTCAGGTTTGTTAAGGCTGGACTTAAGTGCTAAGGCTGAGCTGAATGGGGGTAGTTTGTCCCCGAGGATGCAGCATCTGCCCCACTGCAGGTGGTAGAGGGCAGGATTCTATGTCATGACATGATCCATAGGCAAAAGCAGGGTCGTTACAACCGCATCAGGAGGATGCGCTAGTGGTTTGCTCAAGCCAATGATTAAAATTCAAGAACGTGAAGATAATCAGCTCTTGTGTTAGCAAAAAAGGCCCTTTTCACAAAAGGAAAGAAACATGTTTAAGAATTTGCCCAAAACCAGAAAGTGTGGAGCCACTTAGAAAATTCACAGCAGTCTTGCACAAGGCTCAAAGGCATCTTTGCGGCAGATCCAGACCATGACAGGTTTCACAGGGATGGAAGCACGGACCCTGGTCTGAAAGCCCACTCCCAGCTGCTGCTGGTGCTCCAGACAAGCTGAACACAGGCTCTTACCCTCGAGGCAGCAAGGGGCTTCACATTCCCCACTGAGGGATCTGAGTGTGAGGCCAGGGGCAGCCGGGGCAGAAAAGGATGCCCTGGGCCTGCGGTACCCACCTCCTGAGTGGCAGCACCTCAGCACCATACAGCCCTTGAGTGCAGGGGGTGCTATGGAGACAATGAGGGGAGCATACCTCAAAACAACTGGGAACCCACCCCATCACAGAACCACGGGGTGCCCCACGTCCCTCTCAGCGTCACAGAACTGTTTGGATCGGGGTGATCTTCCCAGTCCTGCGATTGTGGGGTAACCTCAGTCTCCTCCTCTTGATATCCTGGGGCTGTTGGGGTGGGATGACCCACACATCCACAGACTATGGGGTACCCCCCCAGCATACCAACACTGCTAGGAGGAAGGTGGAAAAGAGGAAGAATCACCTTTTCCAGGGCACAGAACTGAGCTGACGCTTCATCTAAGGGTCTTCTGGTAGCCTGGACCCCTCCATCCCAGGATCCCCCCTCCCAGGACTGCAGCCCCCCCCAAACCTGATATTTTGGGATGAGGTAGAGTGTGTGTGTGTCACCACGGGTTAGCCCAGGCCCCATCCAGGACCACAGGGTCACCGAAACAGGGCTGCCCCCCACACCAGGGACCATGGGGTACCCTGTTCCCCCCACACCCACTTGTCCATGGAGATGAACCCCTCGTGTGAGGTATCCATGCATACCCCAACGCGCTGAGACCTCCGGGAAGGGGAGGGAAGAGCCGCCATCCTTCGGGGTCGTAAGAGACTGTGGGTCCTCTTCAACATCCTAAGACCGCTTGGAAAGGGGTGACCGCCCCCATCCGCGACTGTGGGCCCCCACATCCCCAGGCCGCTGGGACGGCGACATCCCGGCCCTCCCCACGCCACCCCCGGGCCTTGGGGACAGGGTGCCTCCCGGCATCCCGGCTCCCCAGTGTCGTGTGTCCGTCCCCCGCAATGTCCCAGGGACAGACGGGACCCCCTGACCCGGGACTGCGGGGTATCAGTCCCCTCAGGGCGGTGGGAACAGGGGTACCCCGGTCCCCGACACACCGGGGCCTTGGGGACGGGGTG